GACCTTGTGCATACTAGCCATGCATTCTACCACTGAGCTATCCCCCCTCCACCAACCTTCTTCTCATACTGAGATTTTCTAGTTTGTCCTTTCAAAACATACCAAAGTAAAAGAGAGGTGGGATGAAAGAAAATTTTATTAGAGCATCTATTGCTTTGCCTTGTGTGGAGTAGTTTTAGTTATCCTTTACTGAACTAAATCAAACATGTGAAAATGAGCCCCATGCAAGAAAATGGAAAGATAAACTGATAATGTTAAAATTGTAAAGCCAAAAGAGTGATTTCCAGGAAAAATTCAAAAGTGAGGAAAGAATAGCTGAATTTCATTCATCTGGCCTTCCGTCTCATACGGCAGATCATAAATATGGAATTCCACTTACAAAACAGGGAGCAGATTTGGTATAGATCATATGAAGTCCTAATAAAGGGAATTTTACTTGGGTGAGCTGGAGGGGCTGAGGCTTTTGTTCATTTCAGCAATTAGTTTAGTTGTAACCCCAAGTGTTGATATTCCGACTGTGCACAGATTTGCTCACTGTGGTCCTAGGAAGAATCATGCGGAGGGTCAGCACCCAAGAAGTGGATCTTTTCCCTGGGAGGGGTCCCTCCTTGGGTTTATGACAACTGTCACTTGAGAAAACTCCTGTCCTGAAGGAAAGTGGTAACTAGAAGGGCTGAACAGCTGAGATCCTGCAGTGAAGAGGGGCTAGAAAGGTAAATTCAGTGCCAAAGGCCAGGAACATGGGGACTTGGTGTGCCCAGTGATGGAACAGTCAGTGCTGGAGAGCTGGTGTCTGGTTACTGAGCTTTTTCACTGGCAAATTTATCCGGAAAATTGAAGGCCCTGGAGTTCCTCCCTGACCTTTCCTTCTATAGTTCCCCTGTGTTCTGGAGATTCACAGCTTTTTGAAAATTTGACTCTCTGATTTCCCCTGGAATGCTGTCCTTCCCCACCCACCCTGCCCCAGGTTTCTCCTGGTTCTCCTCTCCACTGCACCCCCAGGGAATCAGAGCTGGGTTTCAAGGGTGTGACAAGGGTCCCATCTCACAGTAACTTGATTCCTCATCAGTGTATGCTCTCAGTAGGATAGGAAAGCTTCATTTTTAGCTCTCCAATCTGTGTGTTTCTGTGTGTTTTGTAAATAATAATCATAATAACAATAATCATAATAATAAAAGTTGGGCACGTCATATTGCAGCCAGCATGAAAATGGCAGAGGTTGGCAGAGCTGGCTGCGATTGTCTGGGTTTGGGGGCCGGTGAGATTGGTGAAGGCGGCAGGCACGGTGCTGCCCTTGAACGCTATGTCACCATCTGCTTGTAATTGGTCTTATCGGCAGAACAAAACCACTAAATCATGTGCTGCCGGCACCGGGACCAAGCGCTTCCCTCTGAGCCAGATGATTCCTTTGTTGAGCCGGGCTGCCTCAGTGAGCTTGTAACCATGCGGCCAACTGTCAGCAAGAGATACACTCCTCCTGCTCTTTTTTTTTTTTAAGGGATTTAGTCAGATGTAATTCACATTCCGTAAAATTCAACTCAACTTGAAGTGTCAAGTTCAATGATCCTTTCCTTAAATGTACCAAATTGTGCAACCATCCCCATAATCCAATTTTAGAACGCTTCTCGTATCTCAGAAAGATCCCTGTGCCCATTTGCCTTCAAGCTTTGTTCCCACCCCCTACCAAGCCCCAGGCAACCAACCACTCATCTGTTTTCTGTCTGTGTAGTAGCCTTGTCTGGGTGTTTTATATAAATGGACTCATGTAGTAGTGTTCCTTTCTGTCTGTCTTCTTCCACTTAACATAATGCTTTGGAGATCCATCCATGTTGTACCATGTTGCCAAATAGTATTCCATGGTGAACATGGGCCATATTGTGTTTATCCATTCACCACTTGGTGAACATTTGAATTGTTCCCACTTTGGGGCTATTCAGAATGATGATGCCCTCCTAATCTGAACTAAAAATGATGGGGTGGAAACAGCTTGGGATGTGGGGTCAGGACTCCAAGACCGCATCCTAGCTCTGGCATTTGCTGTCTTAGTTAACTGTAAAGGTGATGTCCTTATCTAGACAGCAGAGTTAATGGACCCCTTCCCTGCTGTGTTCCTACAGTAGTTGTAAGAATCAAGTGAGATGGTGTATGTGGAACGCCTAGTGAACTGTAAAACAGGACAGTTGAAAGGCATTGTTATTGAAGCCATCTTGCCAGGACCTATTAAAATGAACAAGTTGTTTCTTAAGGTTCTTTCTACGTTCATAGAACAAATGATCTATAGGAAATATCTACCCTTGTCCTTCTGTAGACCTGGGGTACTCACCTTGTTTCCCATATCAAAGCTTGTTATTTAGAGAAGTTTTGATATTATTTTACCTCTCTTCAATTCACTTGTGTTTTAAGCCTTACTTCTGATTGTCAAATAAAAGACTTTGTTTCCTGTTAAAGAGAGGATCATCCAATATCCTAGAATCACTGTAGAAAGTCAAACTCAGCATAGTTGAAGTTCAGATTTAACAAGGGCATCCTCTGACCTACAGGTTCAACTTCATCTCTTGGGTATCTCAGGTGACTACGAAAGGCAGGTCCCTAGTAAGAGGGTTGCGAGGCAGAGGTGAGTCCAGGTTGAGGGGCTTCCAATGAGTTAAAGCCCAAGCACGTTACCATCTTCCAGTCAAAGGTGATCCAAATTGTCACTTCATTAAAACAATCTTAAACCAGTTAGGGTAACTAGATCACGAGAGCTATTCAGACATTCAGGATCATAGACTGTTGACCACACGAATGTCACTTCTAGTTATTTGACTCCCACAAGGCGTGAAAAATAGTTTTTTGAGAAGCCGGTGCAGACTTTGCTTCAAACAAAAAGAACCGGATACTGGTACCTCACACCCACTCAATCCTCAAGTTAGTATCACCTTTATCACCCTCCACACCGACTGCCTTATCCAACACCATGGGCTGCTTCCAAGAAGTTTTATCTTGAATGTCATGGGGACCTCCCAGGGTGGAAGACTTCCAAGGCAAGAGAAATAGCTGTCACTTCAGATTCGCTAGAATCTGAAACACAGAATGTGAGTACCCACCAAGTGCCTTCGGTGGGATCACTGGTCAATCCAACATTCGAACTCAGATACTGCCAGCGCCCAGATTCAAATGACTAGGCTGTCTCTCTCCAAAAACAGCAAATCCCCAGACATCTTTAGCACTCCATGAGGTTACACAACACAGGCCGCTGAGGTCAGATAAGTCTAGTCCTTCCACACACCTTCTCCCCGAGAAGCCCTTTCTCGCCTTTTGACGACCGATCGTTAGGGTTTTACTAAGCAAGAGCAGACGTGGGGTTTTATGGGCTGAGGTGGTTCTCTGCTGTTTTCGTTCTGTGAATTTTCTCCAGGTATTGAGAGATGGCAGTGAGATGCCATGTACATATCTGTCATTCCTTTTCCATATTTTCCCATCTAAGCATGATAACATGCAGACTTGTACCGTAAGACCAAGCTTCTTGATTTTGGCATCTCTACCACTGGCACTGCCACTCTGTAACAATAATGAGAGTTCGAGTCTCACATGCACTTACTCCATGTAAGATACAGTGTCTATACACTTATCTTGTGTCTTGTTCAAAATCAAGCAGCTAAGCACCATTTTTCATTCTCACAGGCACTGTACAAGGAGTTCTGGTTGCCCTGGATCCTTGCCTGCACATGGTATTGGTATGGTCAGGGTTCCTTTTTTTTTTTTTTCATTATAATTGATGTGTAGTAATAGTTCACTGTGGCTTTAATTTTCATTAAAGGCTAATATTTCTTTAAAAAAAAATCAAGCAGCTAATAATTGGTGGAGCCTGGCTCAAACTCAGTTCTGTTTGGCTACAAAGTTTTTGTGCTTACCTACTGTATTATATGGCCCTGTAACATGTTGCACTGTAATGCATGCATGTTTGCATGTATAATAGATGTGGGTATGTTATGTATATGTACATGTGTGTATAAAAGTATGGATATCTGCATGGAGTGTTTTGTTTTATTAACTTGAAGCAGGTTAGAGTTTTTTATATATCCTAAATAATTTCTGATTTGGAAGGTGACTGCATACGTAAGAGTCACATGGCATCAACCACACATTTAGGTAGGTATATCTGATAAAAGGTCATTGACAAGGTTTAAGTATGTTCTCTATGTCATAAAATACTCCATCTTTTTTCTAGTTTCTATGCTGTCTAACCCATACGTACTGATTTTTCAAAAACCTGTATCAAAGGGAGTGTTACCTGCAAATATTTGCTGCACGACATTTACACAATTGTTTTCACATCTTCTGCACTGTCATCCTCAGCCCAGCAACAGGTCGTGTGACTCTTTAAAATGATTAAACCCTATCCTTCAATGTGCTTATGAAACGATTGTAAGTCGGAGATGGAAATGCGCTTTAAAGATCGCCTACTGAAAATCGAAACAGAACACACTCAAATAAGAGGCCATACCTGCTTCTTTCCACCCAGGGAGCCTCTGTATGATACAAAACAAAATCCACAGTTACCAAAACAGCCATGATCATCTTGGCAGCATGAGAAGGTATCATCAAAACTCCATCATGTTGATTAAACATGATAGTGGTTAAACAGACACCACTGGAGAATGTTTGGCGTCTCCTGAGGTTCACTGGGGAGGAGCAGCTGTTGCCTCTCCCAGATAGAGTGACACGTTCTGGGAGAAAGAGAGTCCTAGTTAGAGAGAAATTAATTCCCTTACCCTCCAGCCCACCCCAAAAGCAAAAACACTGCTAGAAAATTTCAAACTGTGATAATAAAAAGGTCAAATCCCTTTTGGATATAGTGATTACCTCAGTTTCATAGGATATGTTTTTCTTCTGCTTCACGAATACCAAGAGAATCACTTTCAACCCATAGCATGTGCAGTGGATTCATATCTTTACATTCAAGCATTTCTTGAATGTGTTTACATTAAACACATTAAAGAAAATGTCAAACTTTAGTGGAGTTTATTTAATATCTGAAGCATCTTATGGCACACTTGCATCCTTATTATTAGTTTTTATTTATTTAGAGTAATATTTGTGGGTAACAATGCATTTTAGCCACAAGTCGGAGAGCAACAGAGGAATTGTGAAATCCCATACATAAAACATTATAGTTCTAATTAAATATATTAGAATTTAATTTATATACAAATATATCCTTTAGGGAATATAAGCAGTTAAAACCATAGCTCTACTTAAACAGTTTTTTTTTCATACTTAGTTATCTTTCAAAAATAACTAAAGATAAATACAATTTGAAAAGTTCATAAACCAGTGAGGTACTACTGTTGAAAGAATACAATAACTCTTAAGATAAAATAACTATAAAAAAAATCTAGAAAAATGAATCTAAGTCATTACATTATTAAGGCTATGTATCAATTCAGTGATTCAAAACTATCATTTTACCATGAGGTGACTGATTACTTTTGTCTGGGACTTATATAACATTCACTCATTCAATATATTCAACAAATAATTTTGGAACGCTCTCTGTGCTCTAGGGAATGTGCTTGGCCTTAAAAAACACTGCAAAATAAGTCAGACATAGGCCCTGCCCTCAGAGAGCTTACAGTCTAGTGGGGCAGACGGATGGGAACACAGGCATCTATGATACAGCATGAGAAGTACTGGGGCCTCCCATCCTAGAGGAAGGAACATCTAAGCTGAAACCTGTAGGATAAAGGGTGGAGAAGGGAAAAGGGAGGCGGAAAGAGGATTCCACGCAGAAGAAGAAGGAAATGCAAAGACCCTGAGGTGTAAGAGAGCCTGGTCTCTTCTACAACAGTGCTTCCCAAACAAAAGGCTTCAGAGACTTGTTGGGCCAGGATGAAATTTTCACCCAGCAGTGGGGAAATAAAGACAGTTTACTAAGTCTTTCCAAAGCTCAAGTCACTCAATTTTTATAATCGAGTTTAAGGCAGCCCCATTTTGTGGCACTAAAATGGCCCCTCTTTTGTGTTTCACTGACAGAGGTAATAGTAGATGTAACAGATGTCCCATTTTTAAAATTAGTAAAACAAAAAGTGCCGATGTATAAAATCGAAAATCACTGTTCGAAGAATAAACTTACAAAAGGTATTTAATATGGTAAGACATTAAGAGATAAGACTAAGGAGGAAGTCACGGAGTTAGATCATGAAGGGCCATGGAAGACCTTTGGACTTTATCCTTAGAGCAGTGGGAATGGTTTTAAGCAGGGGAGTGAAACTTGCTTACATCTGTGAAAGAGCACTCCAGGATGTGGTGTAGAATATGCGTGGGGTGGGGCAAGAGAGCCGAGAGGAAGACCAGGTAGGCAGCACTGCAGTCCCCCAGGAAGAAAGCTGGTGTGGGGGCTGACTCAGTGAACCTGAGGCAAAGAAGATGACTTCATGAAGTAAACTGACCAGGGTCTGGTGATTTGTTATGTTGAGTAAGGAAAACCGATAGGCAAGGCTGATGTCCAGGCTTTTGACTTGACTGATAACCGGGTTAACTATTGAGCTAGAGAATGTAAGAGAAGGAGACCTTTAGTGGAGGAAGACAGTGAGTTCATTTCAGGACCTGCTGAATTTGAGGTATCTTTGTATTCAAATGTCCTTTATGCCAACAGTCTACTTAGGTCTCAAGCGCATAGGAGGAAAAGCTGAACTTCGGATATAAACTTTACAGTCAACAGCATGTAGACAGTCACTGAAACCACGGACATGGGTGAAATGTCCAGGAGAACATAGCATAAAAAGAGACTTCAGACAAAGGAAGGGCTGGCCGGAGATGAGAAAGAAGCCAGAGACAGAGTCAGGGAGGTAGGAACATTCACTGAAATTAGCAACAAGGAAGTTACTAAGGACCTTGAGAAGGGCAGTGAGGGAGCAGAAGCCAGATGACAGTGTGCGAATCTGCAGACAGGAAGGGGCTCTTTTACACAGGGCGGTGATAAAAGACAGGAGAGAATGGGCCAGCAACCTGCTGGAGATGTGGAGAAAATGGTTGTTTTATAAACATAGGAGAGACTTGATAGGGAGAGTTTGAAGACTTGTTGCAAGCAAAAATAATCAATAGAGATTCAAATACAAAATATTGACTAGCTTAAAAAAGTCACAATGTAAAGGTCTTTAGAGATGTCAAATATGGTGTTCCTATAAGAACACAGGATCCAGTTATAAAATCATCAATGGATTTAAATACACACAAGGATGTGAAATGATGCCAAGAAATTCTGAGGGAATCCCATTTAAAGATATTTTAAAATACTATTTTAAATTATGGCAATTTTAGCGCTTGTCCATAGAGATCATACTCTTTAAATAATATGTATCTTTGAATAGTTGGTGGTAGAGAGAGCTTCTCCATTGAGGCTGGCTGGCAAAGTCGCTGGAGTCCCATAAGTCTTCGAATTTTTAACCGACATAAATGCTTTAAGGAGCAAGGATTCTCTAAAGTGGGTAGGAAAGCAAGCAAAACATGAAAACCATATTAATGGATTGACCTTTAAGAGAGAGATTGAGAACAGTATTAATAGCGTCATTCTGAAAAACAGGCATGCGCACATTAGCAACTGGTGACTTTAAGTAAAATTCAAATTGCAGTTAAGCCTTCCAGACGATTCGTTTAGAATGTAAGCTCCACAGAGGCAGACAGTCTCCCTCTGTGTCAGGGAAGAGAGTCTGGCTCCTAAGGGGTCTTCAACTAGAATATGTTAAATGAATGAATGGACTTGATTGAAGAAAGTTAATGCTCAACTCTCCTATTTATTTTTTAAAATGAGTATTTTAGAGATAGATAGACTTCTGTACTTCCTCTCTCTCCTACCAATCTTTCTGATGAATAATTATCTGTGAAACATCTGATGCAAATGATTCCATACGTCCATGATTCAGTCTTAGGTTTGTTTCATGTCTAATACCTAGACATTTTATATTTTCAATAAAATCTATGAATGTTATTCAAATATCTGGTGCCAGTCTTTATTTTCCACTCTTACATCAGCTATAGTATAATTACAGTCCTGATCTATTATCCCAGCAA